GTGGCAGAGGCAGGAGGATTATGTGTTTGAGGTCACCGAGGAGCTACATAATGGGATCCTGTCTCAAATTCCTCATCCCACACACAAACCCAGCAAGCTTTTCTTTCGTGGTTTTGCTGGTTTTCAGCCGAGCTTTGTCAATGAAAAGCCATTTCCTGCCCAAACGGACAGAATTGCCAAGTAGCTTCCCTGCTGCAGCAGCACAGCCTCTGCCATCAGGGTCTGCTGGGACACATAGGTGGCCTCTGTGAGAACAGTGAAAAAATAAGATTCTGCCCGTCCCTAAATGTTCCTCGGCCCCAAAGGCCAGCTGACCCAGCTGAAACAAAGTCACACGCCTGATTTCAGTGGCTCCCCAGGGGAAATAATTGGGCACTCAGCTGCTCAGGCCAGAGGGCTACACTCAGAGGCTTCTTGTGGGCAGCACTCTGATTGAAGACATTTGCAAACATTCTTGTGAGTAAGGAACATTAGCCACCCTTGCGTTTGCCTGTGTGTTCCTGTCCTGAGCAACCTAGCTGTGCGTCCACGGAGCAAGCTAGGGTTGGGCTGGGAGCTGGACTGGCACCTAAGGTGCTGTCCATCATTATGGCGGTCAGCCCTCCCATATGCATCCGTCTGTGGAGTTTTTTGTTAGCAGAGAGCAGAACAGTAGAATATTGTGCTGTGGTTTTTACTAATGATGGAAAAGTCGTCTCTCTCCATGTCAGCTCATAAGTTCTTAAACGGGTCTGAAAGACAAAAGTTACAGCAGTCACTGGTGTGTGTGGGCGGGGGGAGGGGGGGCAGGGGAATGGGGGGTTTGCCTCCAAGATGTGATTCTTTTAAATTTTTTCTCCAAGTCTCCCAGATCACAGAACTGGCTTAGTGTTAGTCTTGTTTATGGAGAAAGCAGAGGATCTGGTCTTCAAGTACCTGCAGGATCCAGCCTGAGCTGCACATTCAGTGAACTTGCTCCCTGTTCCCAGCCCCTACACTGTTCCTCCCTGCTGTAGCCTGCAAAGGGCCCTCCCATTCAGTGGTGCAGCATTTCACCCTCCCACAATCTGAGGAGCCCATCTGCCTTGAAAACCAGCTCAGGGTAGTCAAAGGGTGATGATGGTAAATCACCCAGACCGGAAATGACCCCACCACTTGCCACAGCAGTGAGACTCACAAGCCTGTGTCTCTGACAACCCCAGTGGGCATGAGTCCCCTTCTAAAGGAACCATGTGAGGATGAAACAAGGCCTTAGGAGGTCTCAGAGCTTGACTAATTTAAGTAGTCTGGGATTACTCTTTTTTTTAATCAGTGTTTTGCCTACATGTTGAATCTGTACACTTGCATGCCTGTTGCCTGTGGAAATCAGAAAAGGGTGTCAGGTCCCCTGAAACTGGTTTCACAAGCAGCTATGAGCCACCATGTGGGTGCTAGGAGTCAAACCTAGGTCCCTGGGAAGAGTAGCAGTTTTCTTAACTGCTAAACCATCTCCAGCCCCAAGGAGTGTATCTTTTTTACAGAGCCTGCTCATAGCACAGCTCAGCCTCTAAGAATGTTGCAGAAAGGTTCAGCTGTGTCAGATTGAGAGGTAGGGCTTGTTAGAAAGCCCTAGAGAGGGTTACCTGGCCACTGGCACCTTCCTAGACAGTGTGTAATTCAGAAATCACACTCTACTGTCCTCAGCCATGCTTTGGGTGAGTACTTGGCCCCTGCCATCCTGGACTGAGTTCTGCCCTCGAGGGCCAGGGATAGCATACAATGTGTTCTCTCCACCCAGTTCTTTCAGGAGTCCTTTACCAAGAGAATCTGGGTAAGCCCATGCTCTCCATTGTCTGCTTCCTGAACTAACAGGGTTTTTAGCTAGGTTAGAGGTCCTCAGACTAGCTCAGGGGTTTCCTGGGTCCCTGCCTGCCTGCCTGCCTTCCTGAATACCAGAGTGCATGGGCTACTCGTCTTGAGACTGGTTCTTCAGGGTGGAAGCATCCCCTCACTGCTGTTCAGGCTTTGGTTCTTCTGTTCAGAGAGGCACAGGCTTTGACCTCTGGTATGCAGTTGACTTCTTGGGGTCACAGAATCAGTGTTTCCTGGATATATGGTCATGCCAAGGCTGGCTCATAGCTGTCTCCTGCTCCACTGGCTAGAGAAATGGAACAGTGGTCAAGTTTCAAACCATCCACGGGCCTGACCTTCATTCCAGGGCCTGCAGCCCAGCCCATATTGCACCCCACATACTAGTTCTAGATTGGGAAAACTGGGACTCATCTTAGGTGTACATTCAAAACCTCAGGACTCTAGCCTGGGCCCTGCCTGCAGCAAGTCTTATGTTTGATTGGTTGGTTTTTTTTGTTTTTTTTTTTTTTTTTTTGAGACAGGGTTGCTCTATATAGCTCTAGCTATCCTGGAATTCACTTTGTAGACCAGGTTGAACTCAAACTCACAGAGATCCACCTGCCTCTGCCTCCTGAGTGCTGGGATTAAAGACATGCGCTGCCACCATCGCCACTGCCCACACCTGTGGGCAGGCGTGTTTTGTTGTCAGATTCCCTGACCTCTGGGCAGCTGCTCCGTTTGAGAATAGTCCCTTTCACCTCTGTGCCTGCCTCACCTAAAAGCCCATAGTAAAATTTATCCTGGAGTCAGTGCAATGAGAATCTGAGCTAAAGTGTAAAGAGAATCAGTCTGCTGTGGTGGCTGTCTGCACAGGGGGTACACGCTGGCCATGCAGCAGCTCTGAATCCGCCTTGTGAAAAGGGTCCCATAGACTGTGGACAGTACTGGCATTGTACTGGACAGACTGGGAGGGCAATCAGGGCTCATTAATCCCAGGCTCCCTTTCCATCCTCAGACTTTGGGCCTTTTAAGGATTTAAATAGTAACAGGCTGATTTCCAGATGCCTTGGGGATAGCATGGCCCATTCCCAGGCACAGCTTCCTTCTCTTCTTTGGTAATAGTTTTGTTCTGGGAGCTTGGGGTGGCTGAGCTTGTTCTAGCAGAATCGGGAACATGCATGTCCAGCCTGTGTACCCTGCAGTTCCCAGACCCATTGTTCCATGCTCTGTACAGCCTGGGCTTTGTTTTTGAGACAAGGTCTCACTATGTAGACCAGGCTGGCCTCCAATTAATGAAGATCTGCTTGCCTCTGTCTCCCAAGTGCTGGGATTAGGGGCGGCCCAGTTTTGATTTTCTACCCTTGGCGTTTAAAGTAAGTTCCTCAAGCAGCTCCCATCCACATTCACAGGTGCCGCTCCCTGGCCCAACAAAGCAGGACCATGGAGACTGCTGTGTGGGTCAGTGGTGGGTGTAGCAGCTGGCATAGGACCAGTCTAAGCCTTTTGCTTCTGTGTTTTTTCTTCTAAAGTAGTGGCTTTTGTCAGGAACCTCCTAATCATTCTCTCTGCCCCCACTCCATCCCTAGCCATTCATAACCAGTTTTGTAACAAAAACCCAGGCTCTGTGACACAAGTCCACCTCTAGGGAACTGACAGAGTTTAGGTTTAAAGGGCAGACTGGGGAGAGGAGGAGGGAGGAGGAGGTCTGCTCAAGGGAGAAAGGTGTGATCCGGCCTATTTTAATTCTCCGGGTGGGAATAAACTCGCCCTCAGGAGGAGTGTTCCAGGCATAGCCCCACACGGTGGATAATTGCCCCTCTGGGGGGGTGATTCTATCGGGAGAGTTTTGCTGTTCCAGGAATCCTGGGTGATTGCAGTTTAGGACAGCCACTCTTATTGCCTCCAGTTTTTAAACTTGTGAGACGGGATTGGTGCCTGACACTCATACAGTTAGGGATGAGACAGGATATGAAGGCTTCACCCTGCTTTTAGTCATTGCAGTTTGGAGTAGATGCTTTGTACCAAAAGCAGCTTCCAAAAGCCTGTGGTCCACTCTGCAGAGAGATCCTGCAGATCTATAGTCCCATAGTCCTATAGTCCCATCCCTGTGCCAACCCCTCCATCTCTGCCTACCACTGGACTCTGTCAGACTGCTGCCTACTCTGTAGCCCCACCCTGCCACCCTGTCTTCTGTCTTTCTGTCTGTTCTCAAGTGGCACTGAGGGACGTTTAAATTCCATTAAATCAGTGATGGTGGCTTGTGTCTGTAATTCTAGCCAAAGGAAACCAAAGCAGGAATCTTAAATTTGAGACCAGCTTGGGCTATGTAGCCTAACTTCCTTAAAATGGTGATTGATGATGGTGATGTAGCTATGTAGTCTGACTTCCTGAAATGGTGAAGATGGTGATGATAATTAAACTCAAAGCTGGGGAGGTGGCTCATGGTCACGCTTGCCACCAAGTGAGAGACCTTTTCAGATACCCGGCACCTATGTAAAAAGCCAGGCATAGTGGTGTGTGCTTATAATCCCAGCACTGGGGAGGCAGAGACAGGTGGATCTTAGCGCTCCCTGGCCAACTGGTTTAGCCAAATCAGTGAAGTCCAGGTTCAGTGAAAGACCTGTCTCAAGAAATGAGATAGAGAGCAACTGAGAAAGATAGCCAGTCAACTTCTGCCCTACACATGCATGCACACACATAGGAACATGTGTACACACACCACTCAAATCGAATAAATTCAACTCAGTTTCCCTCTTACTGGCCACATTTCAAATACCCAGTAACCCTATGTGACTGACCAGCCGTGTTCATTTTGCAGGGTGTGAGCAACCCTACTCTAGGTACCTGCCCCACCAACACTCCTTGTGACTTTCGGGAGGAATCTGGGCACAAAGACAAATCGATAGCTTTGAGATTGTCATTTGCTGTTCTTTTTCATTAAAAACATAAGCCTTTGCCAGATCCTCACAAAGGTGTCTGGTGCTTTTCATGAGCATAATTACCTTTTCTGAGCTTGATTTCAGTTCATGAGAAGGTTAAACTTCTTGCTCAGTGTGACTAAAATGTCATTCCTTTCTTGGAAACGAAGGGAAAATTATCTGAAGAAACCTCCCTAAGCTAGGGACATCGGGGCTGCAGCAGCCAGGGACCAGAACAAACTGTAGCCTACTGCTTCTGTTGTGTCTTTGCAGGGTGGCAATGATCATGAGATCTTCACAGACCCCAGAACTGTGGGCTACACAGTGACAGCACCCGAGGACACACGCAGGATCTGTGAGGAGCTCTTCCCTTAACAGCAGAGGAGTGGGGCCCTGGCCATCCAGACTGAAAGGTCACTCAGGGTCAGGGGCACTTAGGGCCAGAGCTGGAGTCCTCCTCACGTGCATATGGCCCTAGCCTGCACCAGGTGTTCTCATGGTCCAATCACAGGGACTAACAATCATCTCACGGGGCATGCCAATAGGCTGTGCCTCCACCTCCCTAGCACCACCAGCAGCCCCAAGGGAGTGGAAAGAACACAATCAGGAATGGCTGTGGCGGGTGTGGTGGCTCATGCCTGGAATCTGTACCCAGGAAGCTCGGAGGCCTGGCCCCTTACCCTTTGTGGAACTGAAGATATGAGTTTGGGGTTTTCTGGTGGTGGTGGGTCTAGAAGGGCTCTATTTTGAGACATGGTCTCACTATTTGGCCCTGACTGCCTCAGAACCTGCAATGTAGACCAGCCCGACCTAGAATTCAGGGTCTTTGGCCTCTGCCTTACAAATGCAGACTAAGTGCACCAACATACCAGCCAAGGTTTCATGGAAACCTGACAGCTGTCAGTATCATCCCACCATCAAAAAGAGGGATCTGATGATGGAAAAAATACAAGGCATCCAGTTACCCACCTGGGAAAGAACTGAAGACTTCCACAGTGCATTCCCAGTCTGCGCTGAGGCTGGGGCATGAACTAAAGCCAGTGTTCTGCCAGAGGGCTGATGTTTCTGTCTTCAAGCCAGCTTCCTGTCTATGAGCCACAGACCATAGTTTGGCCTGCCTGACGGATAGCGTCCAAGTGACCACTGATGACAGTTTGCACCTCCCCTGGCCTTGCCAGCTCTATTTGCTACATTTCAGCAGGACTGCTCTCCTGTCATCCAGCGAAGCCTGCAGGCCTCCTTACCCAGCTAACAGCCCAATGGCCACAGCCACAGGAGCTGCGCTCCTTCAGCCTCTTCCTGGAGAGTGCCCAGGCCTCCTCCAGAACCTCAGGGAGAGTCTTCCAAGAACATTTCCCAGGCCACTTTTCAGCGCCTAGTAAACGGTTCTGCAGCCCGGTTCCTTCTTGGGAGCCCCTGCTGCCCTTTCCTGCCTTCAGCCACCATGTGCTCCCACTGCCCTGCCTTTGACTGCCCGCACTGGCGCCTGCTGCTGACCCCTTTACCTCTGTCCACCCCCATGGGAGAGTGCCAGGACCTCCACCTCGTGGCATCCTCCTTAGATTTTATGGTAGTGCTGTGACCACTTGCCCAGGGAAACACATTAAAGGGACTGCATCCTTCCTCACTTCTTGATCTGGTCACTCTAACTCTGGTGTCCAGTGGCTTCTTCTCCAGTCCTCAGAGAACTAAACACCTTGAGTCCTGAAAGCTCTTCTGGTCCTCTGGTGATGTGGAGCCTCTAGCTGTCCTGGCTGCTGTAGTTCCAGCTGGCCCAGAGGCTGTGATCTACCCGCAGGTCCCATGCTGCCCTCAGGTGGGGGACTCCAGGCTTTATCAGTTCCTACAGTGGCTGTCACAGACCCCCAGTCTGCATTCAGACTTCCCACCTAATAAAGGGCCTCTGCTCTCCAGACATCGCACTGCTGTAGAATGATAGTGGTTAAGTCACACGTGTGGCCTGGCTGGAGGAGCAGGGCCTGTAGTGTGGCGAGTGGCTGTCCAGGGACCAGCAGTTCTAGACAGCTGTAACTCAAGGCAAGCCCTGGCCTCAGTTTCTTATCTGTCAGTTCAGTCCTACCAAGTGGGGATAGCCAAGGACTTCAGGAAAGCAGGAAGTTAGGTAGACAGCATCACAAGAGGCAGAGGCTGCACCTAAGCATCCTAGGGCTGCTCAGAAAGAATCACTTCTGCACAGGCTGCCTGTCCAGGACACCTCAGGAAAGCCTGAACTAACAAGTTTACCAGAATACTTGGTTCTCATGTAGGGGCGCTGCGTGGCCCTACAAGGTGTCCCCAACCATGTCTGGATGGGAAGAAAGGCACTGAGGGGCAGCTTGAAATATGTTCCTTCCTAGGCAGTGCAGCAATGAATCACTTCCTCTTTACCCCAGGCTAGGTACACGTACACAGCACACCGGTCAATTTGGAGAAACCCAGGCTGATTTATTGTAGTCACCTCATCTGTAGCCTCTCCCTGAACAGGCTTGCTGGGCATTTCCCCAACCACTGGGAGAATAACCCATTCATCAAAATTCCTGTCCCTTGGTAAAACCACCTGGGCAGTCATTACCCTATCAGCGACCTGCTACTCCTCCTCCCCCACAAAGGCAGGTGGCCTTCCTGTTGCCCTTCTGAGCCACTGGACCTATATGAGGGACAACCCCATCTCCATCTCCAGTTCTCCACAAGGTCCCCGGGGAGCCGCAACACCCACTTTAGACATCTACAGCAGGAACCCCAGGACCCTTCTCACATTTACATGGCATTCAAATGCCACCACAGAAATGAGCCCCATTCCAGACCTAGCTTCCTCTGTTGGCTAATGAGGGGACACCCCCATCCGTTAGAAACCTGCTGCAGAGATGTCATTTGCTTGGGAGGCGCCCTGACCTAGTGGGCCGCCTTCCATGTTCACACAGGCACAAGCGTGCACACACAGCCTCTTGTCGCCTCATTTTGTTGCACAAAACAAACTTTATTGAGAAAGAGGTGGCTGAGGGGGTCAAACGTCTGTATTTGGGAATCTGTTCTTTCCTGCCTGGTCACTAGCACTGTGTCCTTCTGATCTGTTGACACTCCTGTCTGAAGAGTCTTTTCTGATACCAATACCCTGCAGTTCCAGAACAGCCCAGAGGCTGAAGTGATGTGGCCGTACAGAAAAAGCGCTTCACAAAGAGTTCTGTGGGGCAAAAGAATCCAGAGGCCATCCTGCCAGCAGAAGTGGCTGGCAGCTCAGTTGGTGGCAGGGCCCGCTAGCAGGCCAACCGTGGGCCACCGAAGCTGTATTGATGGCTAGGAACAATGGGGTGACAGAGAAGGCTGTCCAGTCTCAGGGAGCCTTCCTGGGTCCTGGCAGAGTGGCTTTGGAAGTCTGTTCCTTGGCCAGCAGAGGCACCTCAAGAGAGGCTCTAGGCAGTCAGCCAAGCCTGGAGGGGACAAAGCCACCTTTGACCTAGTAGAAAAACATCTGCCAACAGTCCAACAACAAAGAAAATAGTCAAACTGGGTGGTAGAGGTGAGCCAGCTGCACAAGGCCCTCACACAGTTAACTACTTAGTTTTTGTTTGTGCAAATAGACGAGGACAACCTGTTTCCATGCCTCAGGTGCTAGCCATCTTTTATAAACAAAAAATACGGTGCCTCACTGACCTCAGACTCACCAAATAGACTGGCTGGCTAACCTGTCAACCCCGAGCATCTGCCTGGCCCAGCCTCCCCAGTTCTGGGACTAAGTGTCTGCCACAGCCTGCTTTTTCTGGGAACTGAACGCACATCCTCCACTTTACGCTGACCCCCATGTCTGTCTGAAAGCACAGTGGTCATCAAAGTTCCAGCCTTTGTCCTCTTAGAATGGACCTACATTAATCCAGAAGGACATGCTGAGGTCTACAGTGCATCAAAGGAGCCTCTGGTCTGGATCACTGGGGCCCCAGTCACCCCTGCAGTATTGGTACCCCTGTTCTGACAAGAGTTCTCAGTCCCACTTAAAAACTCCATTGTCCAACTACTATTATTTTTAAATCACAACTAAAGCCATAGCCACCACCAAAAGAGTCTAAGGAGCAGTTTGTTTGAAACACCTACAAATCTACAGTGTTGCAATGTGGGGCAAACGGCTTTAGGGGAGAGTTTAAGCTATTAAATAAAAGAAATCAGCAGGGTGTGAAGGCACACCTCTGACCCCAGAAGTAGGAAGTCAAGGCATAAAGGGTGCTAAGAGTTTGAGGCTAGCCTAGGCTATATAGCAATATGGCAAACCCCTACCTCAAAAAAAAGAGCAAGAAAAGCAAAAAACAAAACCTGGCAGGCAGTGGCTTCAGTGTAGGTCAGTGCAGTGGTGCCTGTTGACATTTCCAAGACCCTGGGCTCCCCCAGCACTGAGGAAGAGGAGGAAGATCCTTAGGTATCTGTCAGAGCTGTCTTAAAGAAGCCTTGTTTCCCCACCAAAGGTATATTTCTCTTTCAGCTTCTAACTGGGAAAGGCCATCAGAGTCCAAGTTCTGGGGTTTATGCTAGCAGTGGAACCCAGAGCCCCACACATACTCACCAAGTGCACTACTACTGAGCTACATACCCAGCCCTTGTTTCCTGTTGTTTGGAGACAAGATTCTAACCTAAGCTGGCCTAGAACTGTTCCAGCCTCTCTAGTGCAGAGCACCCTTCCCTCTTACAGCTGAGGCCTCTTCCGCGCCCCCACAGCTCCCATCAGCACTGGCTTAATGATAGACCCAATGCCACAGAGAGGGTCCCTTACACCTACAAGTAGGAAAGACCAGCATTCCCAGGGGTGGGGATCAGTGCTGAGTCAAAGAGTGCTGGACTAGAGCAGGCGCTTCTAAGAGTTGGAGTCTTTCCCAGAAGGTGGAGACACACCTGTTGCAAAGGCCCCAAGAGGCAATGTCCCCTGAAAAGGTCCCCACATACATAAGCCAGCTTTCCTAGAGCTAACCAGACTGGCAATCAGAAGATGGATCTAACCTGTCCCAAGTCAGACAGGGCATTGGGTCATGGAAGTCTCAGAAGGCTGGTGACATCCTTCAGGGGAGAAAATAGATCCAGGAGGAGTACTTAGGGTTTGTCTGACCTGGGCGGGGCATTTGGGGAAATAGCAGGTTAAGCCTACCCGCCCTGGGCTGGAGCTGCACCCTCTCCACTCAGCCACGGCAGCAGGTGCCTCTCCTTTTCAAATGCTTTTAATGTTTTCAGACAGTGAGAGCTTGTTGCAATGGCTGGAGACTGTGTTGGTGGCTGAGCACCCTCTGCCTGCCCACAACTCCCTTCTTCCAGGAAATGCTTGAAAGGGGCCATGCCGGCCTTGAGGCCCCATCTCGTGTGGTAGAATGTTATATCCAGAGTGTCCTGCTCCTCCTCCCCCCTCAAAGTCTCCCTCAAGCCCAGGAGGAGGGGTTCTTGCAGGTCCTAGGAGCTGATGACATGCCCGGACCAGGTCTCATGCTTGGTGCCTGGTGCCAGGTGGGTGATGACCACCTCGACAGCCTGCAGTTTCTCATTCTTGGGCGGGATAGAGCACATCTTATAGGTGACCTCGTCGCCTTCCACTGGAACATATTCCCCTTCCACACTGCAGGAGAGAAAGAGCGGTCATCAGAGCTGAGGAGATGGCTCCCTCCAGAAAGTGCCTACCTTGTAAGCCTGCAGTTCGGATTTGCAGAACCGTGGAAAAGAGCTAGCACTTCCATCACAGCAGAGGCTGCAACACAGCCCTTCTCAAACTGTGTTTTCTGACTTGGCTGGGCTTTGGGGGAAAAGGCTTTGCCTTCCATTGGCTGAGGGAGAATGGATGTCAGGGTGTCAGTCACATGTCTAAGCATGTGCCCTTAGCTTCAGACTCAGTCCCCAGTTCAGCCAAAATGAAGTCAGGGTGGACAGGGTGCTCAGGCCAAAGAAGAAAGTCTGGATAGAAGTTCTAGTTAGGGTTCCTAGGAAACCCAAAAGCTGCTCAGGAGCCAAACAGGGAAGGGACAGCTGGGGGCTTCTGGGCCACACCCCAGACTCCTGCAGGCTTGCAGACAGGAAGGAAGAGCCTTAGTGACCAAGTGGCAGGAGAAGGGGCCCAGCCCTATGCTTCCTTCCTGGAGCAGAAGAAACAGACAGCTCCAGGCTCACCAGGCCACTCCCCTGAGCCTCACACACTCCACATGCACCCTCCTGCCCAGCACCTTCCCATCACACTGTCCTATACAACATGGGTCCAGGACCACACCTCCTCTACCCCCAGCCCAGACCTCCAGCTGTAACATTACAGTGAACTCACTCAGAGATGTGTAGGAAGATGTCAGGGCCACCATCAGCTGGGGTGATGAAGCCGTGGCCTTTGGACCGGCAGAAGCATTTACAGACTCCTTTGTAGACAGGGCCCTGTGAAGCCCGCACCGTCCTGACAGATAGGGAGATGTGAGGGGACACCCATCAGTCCTCTACAACAGCCACCCACTGCCCTGGGGTCACTCTCCTAGCTCTGGCTCCGAGAGACCTGGCTAGGCCCACCATGCATAGTCACGCAGGCTTTGTGTACAAGCCTGGGAGCGAGTCACACGGAATTGTCGAAATGACTGGATAACTCTGGCACGTTTTCTCAGGCCTATTTGTCCATCTGAGATAACACGTTTGGGAGCATTCCTCTCAAAAACTGTTAGTAACAGATCTGGCACTGTTATGACCACTCACAGGACATAATCTACACCTGCCAGTGGCTACCCATACAACTGAGGAAGTCAAGGCCTCCTGGGAAAGAAGCCTCTGTGGCTAAAGCCTAGTAGTTTATCATGCAGTCAGGGGCAGGCTCCCACGGATGACCGGATGACCAGGATAGCTCCTGAGTTTGAAGGCACCTAGCGCTTCTCTAGGACGTGCCCAGAAAATAGACCCTGCTTGCTCTGGTAACAGCACCCATTTTGGACTTACGCCGAGAAAGTTCTTGTCCTGCGGGTGGGCAGAGGGCTAGGGACCACGTTGCCTCGCAGCGGGGACGGAGAGCGATCCCGGGCCCGAGGAGTGTCCAGTAGCCCAACAGAAGTCTGATGTGTCGGGGGCTGCGGTGGCGGCGGGGGAGGCTCAGATGACATGGCTGACCTACAGAGAGAGGGGGGCTCTCAGGGTCCTGTCGCAGAGGACTAGACAGGGCACAGTCAAGACTCCTAGAGAGCTGGGCACTGGTGGCGCACACCTTTAATCGCAGCATTCAGGAGGCAGAGGCAGGCGGATCTCTGGGAGTTCAAAGCCAGCCTAGTCTACAAGAGCTAGTTCCAGGACAGGCTCCAAAGCTACAGAGAAACCCTGTCTCAAGAAAAAAAAAAAAAGAGAGACTCCTAGAGACTCACTGTAGGTCACCTAGGCTCAGGTGTCTGCTCGGGTGCCAGCACTGGGCTCCCATAGCAACTACAAGCCTCCCTCCATCTCCACTGTGTAAGAAAATGCCAGGTCACGTGCTGGGCTGATAGCTCAGTCAGTAAAATACTTATCACATAAGCAGAACCCAGGTTTGATCCCCACAGTGCATGTATAATAGAGAAGCCTGGTAGAGGGCTGGAGAGATGGCTCAGCTGTCAAGAGTGCTTACTGCTCTTGACGAAGACCCAAGTTCACTTCCATGTTGGACAGACAATTCACAACCACCAGTACTTACAGCTGCAGGGGATCTGATGCCCACTTCCTGCATCTGCACTCACACCCACAGAGCCACACATGGACCACATATATACCTAGTTAAAAACGAATCTTGGTTTTGTTTGTCAAGAGAGGTTTCTTGTTTGATTTTTTTGTTTGTTTGTTTGTTTTTTGAGACAGGGTTTCGCTGTAGTTTTAGAGCCTGTCCTGGAACTAGCTCTTATAGACCAGACTGGCCTCAAATTCACAGAGATCCGCCTGCCTCTGTCTCCCTAGTGCTGGGATTAAAGGCATGTGCCACCATGGCCCAGCTAATAAATCTTCTAAAAGGTTAAAATGGTTGTGTGTGCTTGTAATCCCAGCACTAGGAAGGTAGAGGCAGGTGGGTCCTGGCCAGCCAGCCTAGCCAAATCATGGAGCCCTAGGTCCCAGTGAGAGACTCTGTCTCAAATAAACACCCGGAAGAATAACAGTGGAGGTTATTCTCTGGTCTCTCACACACACTCACACACACACACACACAATGGGGGGGGTGGTATATGCCAGGTCACTCCCTATGGTAACCCCTCTATGTCCCCAACACAGACCTTGGCATGCTTAGGACACTCAGTAAATATTGTAAGAGGGAGTCAATGCGGGACTTCAAAGCCAAAAGCGCAACTCAACAGCCCCCGTTCCCTTCTCGCCCTGTCCCCCAGACTGCAGAGCATACCTAGGGCACTTCACAGCCCAGCATGGCTCCCTGGGGGGCTGAGAGAAAAGCTCATGGCCAGGTGGGTTACCACTAAGGGTCCCCAGAGGAAGAACTCTCCCAGCAAACTCACACTTATCCCCAGACGCTACTCTCTGCTACTCTCTGCCACGAGGTCATCAGAGTCTCTCAGTGACCCCTAGGGGCATTGAATTCAGGCAAGAGTAGGAGGCAGTGGCTCTTAGAGGCCAGCCACACCCGGGGTGGGAGTGGGGAGAGGCAAAAGGGCTGCTGTGGGCTCAAGGCAGCTTGGACTAAACCGAGACCAACATTAAAGGGGGGTGGGGGAGACGACTGAGGGAGTAGAAGTTAAGAGCACTGGCTGCTCTTCCAGCGGTCCTGAGTTCAATTCCCAGCACCACATGGCGGCTCACAACCATCTGTAATGGGATCTGACGCCCTCTTCTGGTGCGTGTGAAGACAGGTCACTCATATACATTAAGTGATAAATATTTTTTTAAGGAAAGAATATGGGCAGCATGGCCGTTGTACACAGTGATCCCAGGGCAGGGGGACCAACCAGCCTTGGCTCAAGGTCAAGAACTCTTGGTCAGCCCTTAGGTAAGTCCTTTCCCCTTGGAGTCAAACTCACACTCAGGGATGGAGATGGGGACTCCAGCAGGGTCAGGAGAGCCAATGGGACAGGAACAGTCCTGAGCAGGTGCGTGGCCCTGGGTTGGTCTGTCAGACATGAAGAACTGTCTTCCAAACAGCCCAGCTACAGTTTGGTCTTTGGTGTTGTGTTTAGGGTCCCCTGGAGTCCACACGGGCCCCAACCTTCAAGTGCGATTTATGAGGTGTACTACCATGTCCAGCTTATGTAGTGTGCGGCTTGAACCCAGGGCTCTGTGCACACTGGGCAAGCGCTCTGCCAGCTGGGCTGCATCCCCAGCCCCCTCCGCTCTAGGTCCCTGGGTCCCAGCTCAAGGCAGACTCTTCCCATTTGAGTTTTCAGTCCTGGGGCTCAGGGGAGGGAGGGGTGCGAGGCAAGGGGGCCTCTTTGCCCACAGATTCGGACTTCTCCTCCACATGCCCTGCCTCTCTCTGGGGACTCAGTCCTGCCTGGCTGGAAGATGTCACTGGCCAGCCTTCAAGAGAAGTGACACAGCTACCTACTGACCTCTTAGCTGTGGCCCCAGCCAGGCAGGACCACAAGTCCAGAGAAGCCCCCACCTTGAAGAGGTCCTGGCTGCTGGCCTGCCGGTCGGGTCTCTAGCACAGGTCATAGAGTGCTAGAATGTTCCAAAGCCGGGAGTTCTGCAAGAAGGCTGGCCCAGAGAGGGAGCACGGGCCCCCACCCAGGCCTCTCAGGACAGCGGGTGAGACCAAGGGGACCTGATGACATCAGCATGAGGAGACCTGCCCTTCCCTGTATTAACCAGTCTCCTGGCCTCTCCCCTCCCCTCCTCTCCTTCTCCTCCCCTCCCCCAGCCCCAGTCAGGGACACCTGAGTTCCGATCTTCCCACCTGCCAGCTGAGGGATCACTACTTACTCAACCTCTCAGGGCCCCAGTTGTTTTTAATCTGAGAAATGGGAATTGTTCCAGCTTCACACCACTCATGACATGGGAATGAGGTAATGCATACGAGCACTGAGAGTAGAGCTCACTACGGCCACTGCTGTAAGCTGCAATCACAGCATCACTCCACAAACATCCAATATGTGGCACAAGCCCGCTAACAAAAGGGATCAAAAGGGATGGGGTGGAGGTGCAAGGTGGACCTGGAATATGAAAAAGAGCCAGGCATTTGAGAAACAGTGGGAGAAGCTGGGGTGTCGGGGCTTGCCTATGACATGAGCACTTTGGAGGCTGAGGCAAAAGGATCCTCTGGACCTGCCTGAGCTGGAGACCAAGAGCTCTGGGCTAGCCTAGGCTAGAGAACATCTCATGAAAAGAGAGGGGGGGGGGAGGCATGCTGTGGTTCCAGGCCAGGCAGTGGGGCAGGAGCAGGAAGTAAGGTTCAGAGGGCAGGGCCAGACCAGGAAGCAAGTTGCATCACCGCGGATGATTGTCATCATCGCCTCTCCCGCTTTGCGCCTTCTGCCTGTCTGCTCAGACACGCTCATCACGCCCACCTCCGCCCACCTCTCCGAGCTGATGAAGAAAGGCCCAAAGGGGTCTGCCTCGCTCTCCGCTCAAATCTCCTCACACCTCAAATCCAGCTTCTTCCTTGGTGTGTGCGGAGTGCCACACTCACCCCAGCTACACAGTGGAAGAAACTGGAACACAGAAATGAAGGACTGAGCTGGGGTGGTAACTGAGAGCTCCCCGGGTGACCCACAAGGCTGTTCCACTACCCAGACCAGCCACTTGGGAGGCTGAAAGGAAGCTGGGCCAGTGAGAGCCAGCCCACCAGCTGGTCCAGGAAGGGGACAAAGTCCAGCTGGGGCGGGGTAGGGGTATCCAGGAGGCTTCTCTGGCCTCCTTGTATACCAGAACAAAGTCTACGGCAGCAGTCTGTCGCTTGTAGCTGAAACACCCCCAGCTCCCACTCCCACACCTAGCTCAGGCTATCTTGTGGCCTTCTGCCTGCCCTCTCAGCAATACCAGGTGTGGCCCTGGAGAAGGTGCAGCCCACCTTCTGAGATGCTTTACTGGGAGACTGAGCGGGGTGGGGCTGAAGTTCTTGCTGGCAGGGGCTCTGGGCTAGACCCTCGTGAGCCTCTGCCCGAGACAAATTCTGGTAAAATGAAGTGGCCAAGATATTGTCGTGACTGTCAGACTAGGTACACAAAGGTGTTTATCTGTGTGTGACTATGTAGTGTAATGGTGTACACGTATGTGTGTGAACACACATCTGCATAGTTATGTGAAGGGATATGTTTATGAGTATATGACCAAGTGATATATCTATATCTATCTATATATAAGTGATATATCTATATATATAGATAGATAGATAGATATCTATATCCATCTATCTATCTATCTATGGGGGGATGGGGCAGTGCGCACGCACTTGTGTGTGCACAAGCTGAACGAGTGAATAGCGCCTGTAACACCTGAACCCCTCTGTTATACCTCTTTTATTTTGAGACAAAGTCTCATGTAGCCCAGCTGGATGCAATCCGGGGCTTCCTGAATCCTAGGCAAGCACTCTACCAACTGAACCACATCCTCAGCTGCGTACAGCATGCCCAGTGCCACCATCATGTGCCAGCAGAAACCTTCTAACCCTCAGTGGGGGTGGAGGGTGGGGACAGCACCAGCAGGATAAGACACAAACCCCTATGCCAGACAAGCCCAACCTAGGGAGAGGCCCAGGACCTGGGGGGTAGGATGCCACACCCACCCTGACTGCTCACCAGGGAGAGGTGTCAGCCTCTTATCCTGGGAAATGTGGCAAAGGGGGCCTTTAGCCAAAAATAGACGGGGAATTCTCCGTAGGCCTTACAGCAAGTCCTGGAAGATTCTGGGAGCTCAAGCAGGCACCAGGCTGGCCTCCTCAGCCCCTCTACAGCTCATCCCAAAATCTAATGCCCCATCTCTGTGCCAGGGATGTGCCAAGCCCTGCACTTTCTGTGTTCTTGGCCTTAAAGCCCCCAGCTTCCAACATTCCAGCTTTTCAGTTTTTTGAGTCAGGATCTTATACTGCATAGACCAAGTTGTCCTCAATCTCATGGCAATCCTGCCTCAGCCTCCCTGGTACTAAGAGTACAGGCATGCTGTGAGCCATCACACACAGCTGGGAAATCTTTTGAGCTAGGGAGCCAGGTGCTTACCAGACTAGTGAGAGGAGTGTGGTTTATGACTCCTCAAAGACAGGAAAATGGAGAGTCGAGGAACATGAGCTTGGGTAAGCTGGAGGCTTCATCCTTGGGCAAGGCCAGAACCTCTTGAAGCCTGCCCTGCACCCTAGGGAATACTGTGTGGGTCTGTGGCCAGGGAAGGCTACTGCTGAGCATTGGACTGGGACACTTTCCAGTCCACAGCCTGGCCAATGCTGGCAGGGAGGTAGGTTAAAGACTCGGGTCACTCAGGCAAAGGAACAGAGCAGGCCACTCGAACTTCCAAGACCCTGCCATGGATGGGGAAGCCACTGCTTTTTCTGATGTCATAGGGGCATCATGGGCACCGGGTATTAGAATCCCCTTCCTGCCAGCCTCCCAGGTAAGCACATCGCCATGTCCCTGTCCCATGAGAAAACTGACAATAGATTCAGCAGCTGGGGCTTCTCCTACTTCAGTGCCTCCCAGGAATCTCTGGCCAACATCCAAAAGCAAACTCCAGCTCCACAGATGGCGGCAGAGTTAAAATGGCTTTGCCTGGTCAGTTAGTTGGGGATGGGCAGCTAGTTGCTTTTCTGGTGCTGGGACACGGGATCTGTGGCCCTAGCCGTGAGCTGCTCCCCCACCTCCAAGACTGCCTTTCTAAGGGGCTCCCAAAGAGACAGCTGCCACTAAACTATCCAGCTAGGAAGAGGCAGGCCCTCTGGGGGAGGGGACACATACGGACAGGAACACTCACCCAGCACAAGCAAACTGCACAGGGTCAGGGCTCCAGGAGATTGCAAGGTTCATCTTCACCCCTACCCCGCCAGGCCACAGTCTAACAGAAAAGAGCCCATAGCCACGGACAGGGAAAGACCGATCAGCTCAACTGGACACAGGCATCCGGAAAGAAACAGGAGTAGAGACGGAGCCTCAGGCTCCTCGGCAGGCAGCGCAGCCGGGCTGGCTAGCCACATGCTGCTCCATTGTTCTGGGGAAGAGTGGATTCTGTGCGTGCAGAAGGGAGGGACACCAGGGGCGGGGCGTGAAACAGAAGAGCTAACAGCCGGAGATGAGGAGAGGAGCAACTATCCTGTCTCCCTCCAGCAGCCCAGCTGGGAAACCCCACCCTTGAGTGCCGGGAAGCTGGAAGCTCCAGGAACCGAAAGCAGTCCATCCCAATAATGTCGCCTCAAGAACTCCCACAGGAACACCCATCCTCGGGACAGAAGCCACCACTGCCCTAGGGCTCTGCTTGAGAGTCCCCCACCCCAGGCAAAGTGGACCCTGTTCTCCGTCAAACCTAGCCCTGAAATCCTCCTCCCAACATTCTGCTCCACCCTCTCCCATCTTCTCCTAGGCGCCAGTTCCCTGCCTCAGTTTGGACAGGGAGCGTGCAGCCAGTAGCTCAAACTGTAGCGCCAGCGCCAGTCACAAAGCAGAGCAGGAGGTGAACTTAATAACGATGGGCCCCCTGGTTTGCATGGTCACACCGGGGCCGTGGGAAGAACCCTTTCCTCCCGCAGCTGTCAGCTAATTCTTGCCCTAGCACTCAGTAGGACAAAGAAAACCAGTCCGTCGTCGTCGTCATCATCGTCTTCCCCGCTACCCCCCGCCCCCGCAACCCCAGGCAGGGCCTAACAGCTTACTCAGATCCCAACAAAGCAAAGATCCTGTTCTCACCCTGGGGAGTGAGAGTGGAGGGTGTTCCATCCACGGTTCCATCCAGGTTATCACTCAAGAGATGGCGGAGGGAGGCAGACTCTGAGGAGACAGGTCCCAGAGCAGAGGATGGCTGGGCTGAGGCTTAAAGGTCCCCAATTAGGGACACCACATTCAGAGTCACAAAGCAGCCAGAGAAAGAAGGTCCTGTTGAAAAGTTTGAGCCCAACAGGACAAAGAATGGGGACGTGGAACAATTTTAAGCACAAATTTGAGGACTGGTTTTAAGCATTGTTTTGTTTAGCCGGGTTTGCTGTTCTGAGGGAGGGTCTTGCTATGTGGGCAAGTTTTCCTGCTTTAAGCCTCCTAAATGCTGGGAATCAATTACAGGTGTAAGCATTTACAGCAGCTGGCCTTGAACTTGTTATGGAGACAAGGATGACCCTAAACTCCTGACTTCTCCACCTCTCCGGTGCAGGAATGCAAGTATAACCCAACATTACTGATTTAATGAACCAATTGTTCTCACATTCTCTCCCTCTGGCTTCAGCTTGGAGAACAGACTAACAGCACCAAGACTTGGTCATAGGCAGGGGATGGCAGAATAACCAGCAGGAATAAAAAGTAGCTCCTATTTACCGGGCACTTGGGCGAGCCAGCTACCCTCTATTCCCGCACACACCCCTTGCTGGCAGAAAAGGTTATTTATGTATTCCAGTCGGCAGAGGCGGTCCCCTATTTTGCAAAGAGGCACCTCCAGCTCTCAGAACGCAGACCCTGCAAGAGAGGGCTGATCTACAGTTCACCCTGCACAGACCTACACTGCAACCCCAGAAAAGCAGTGGACTCACAGCCTGGCTTTTTAAATAAAAATCAAAACCCAACCTTGCATTTCCGGCTTCTAAAGGCCGTCAGCGCGGGTGAAGTTTTCCTCTGCGCCCTAGCGCCCCCTCTCCCCATCCCCCGCGACAACACCGAGAGAGTGCGCCCTGCCGCTCCGCCTCCCCAGAAGAGGCCAACTGCGAGGGACCAGGGCGGCTCCCCCTCTCCCGGCCTGGATACTGTCCCGCCGCCCAGCACGCAGCTGGCAAGGCCCGACCCTTCGGGGACCGCTCCGCTTCCAGCTAGCTACGAGTCCCCAGTACCTCCAGTCCGCCGGAAAGCACGCGGCGGGGGTGCGGGGGGGGCGCTGCCCACGCACAAAACAGGTGGCCTAGCAGTAGTACTACCCGAAGTCCCGCAGGGACACCTCCAACTGCGGCCACACCTACCCATGTCCCCTTAGGGAGGGTGAGTAACCCGCGCTCCCCAAACTAGCCCGGGAGACTGGGGCATGTCCTGGGAGAGACCCATCGCGGAGCTGGAGAGCCGAAAGACCCCGCAGTGGGGAATCAGGAGAGCAGATCAAGCCTCGGCCCTGTCCCTGCGGCTCCCAGGAACCCTATGCTCCACCACGCCCTTCGCTTGAGTCCCGGGAACAGCAGCTTACCTGGCGACACGTTTGACTTCTCCAGCTGCTGGACTCAGACTGCTAAAACAGAGCAGGGCTGGGGGCGCGGCCGCCGGGCAGGGTGGAGCACGGGACCACGCCTCCTAGAGCTTCCGACCAATGAACGCACGGCCCGGAACGCGGGGCTGGGCCGGCTGGGAGGGAGGCGAGAGCTGCGCAGCTGCTGCGACCGGACCTTTGTATTGACGCCCCGCGGGCTTGAGCGCGGGTTGCGCGCCCCAGCCGAGTCCGCCCCACGTCGGGCTGCGGACGCCCAGTGTCGGTCAGTGCTCGGGAAAGTGGCACAATCGGGTCTTCACGTTCTGTGCCTGCCCCTCCCCGGCACAGTTCCAACCCGCACCTGCCCTTGACTAGAGATAAGCCCCAGCGCCAGAGTTTTTGCAGAAACTACGAGCTAGAGACAGAGAAACATCAAAACAAGGAAGGAGGGAAACTGTTGTTTTGTTCTTTTTTCGTTGTCTAATTAATTTATTCTCCGTTGGCTGATTTTGAAACAGGCTGGCCTCAGTCTCCCTAATGGATTTGGAGTGAGATGAATTTCTACTGAATCCTTGATTTTGTGGAGGTAAGGGGTGTTGTTTCCAATTCGCAGAAGAGGTAACGCACAGAGACTGATCTATCTCAACAACCAAAACGGAGAACCGGCCCTCAGCGTGACCCCAGGGTCAGTTTCATATTTCCTAGACGTGGGAAAGGGGTACCCTCTAGGTGTGGTGGGCAACAGGCCCCAGGAGTCCCTGCTGAAACCCTCTAACTACACCCCAGGGCATGCTGAGCCACCTAGAAAACTAATAAAGCTCAGGGCTCTCGTTTTCTTCAGCGGTGGGACTAGAAAATGGTATAGTCACCTTGGGGAAAGAAAAGGCAGACCTAATAGTTAAACACTATCCATTCCCAGGCTTGTGCCCAAGAGAACTGAAGTATATAGTTACACAGACTTTGCCATACACAGATGTGGTCAGTTTCTATTTATTTATTTTTGAGGCAGTCTCGTGTAGCCCAGGATGATAGTTAATCATGATTGTCACCTTTACTGAATCGGCAGTCACCCAAGAGACAAGCGTTTAGGCAGGTTTTCTTGTTTAGGACAATTGGAGTGAGAGGAGCCACCCTCACTGTAGGCAGCAGCAGTGAAACCTTTTGCTTTGCCAGTTTGCTTTCCTGTCTCAATGGTAAGTGCATCTACTCTGTGGCCGTTGCTGCCATCCTGGAACCCAGCACCTTCCACCTTGCAATCTAGAACAAAGACCAGTGACTCTCCCAAAACCCTCCAGATCTTCAATGCCAGGGTTGGCATTCTGGTCTCCTCTATTGTTCTACTCCTCACAACTTTGCAGCAGAGTCTCTCATTAGTCCAGACTCTTGCCATTTCGGCTAAGCTAACTGACCAGCAAGGTCTTGGGATTCACTTATCTCAACCCCAGTACCAGGGCTGCAGGTACATACAGCCACACCCGGTTATTCATGTGGGTGCTGAGGATTCCACTCGGGTCCTGTTGCTTACAGAGCATGCACTGTTACCCACTAATGCATTTCTCCCCAGCCCTATGATGTCCTGGTCTATTTCACTTTATATCACTAAATACAATAAGAGCAAATATCAAGTATTGTCCAGGGAAAAGAAGAGGCAAAAACATACATAAAAATTAGGATTAAAGCCAGTGGTGGTGCGTGCCTTTAATCCCAGCACTCAAGAGGCAGAGACAGGTGGATCTCTGTGAGTTTGAGGCCAGCCTGGTCTAGAAGAGCTAGTTCCAGGATAGGCCCCAATGCTACAGAGAAACCCTGTCTCGAAAAACAAAACAAAAAAAATCTCAAAGGTATTTTGACCAGGTGGCTCCAAAGCTACAGAGAAACCCTGTCTCAGAAAAAAAAAAATTAGAATTACAACCAGCATGAACATCATCAAACAAGAAATATATGCTAAATGTTTCAATAGTAATCCTATCCTAAGGAGTCTAAGTCTTATATTTAAAATGGCTTGACTAAGTCATGTCAGGAAAGTAACTATGACTATCTAGTCTTCAACCCCGTCAAAGAACTGAGAAGGGAAATAATATTACTTGAGTAAATAGGAAGTGCAATCAAGCAACTTTCAAAAGATGCAAGAAATGACAGAGACAGCTGACTGCCTGAGCAATCACCCAAAGTCTCATTTGCAATTTTGGGGCAACCAGCTTTGGCTAAGGCCTAGAGTAACTAACAGACCATTTTCAGAGGCAGGAAAATTTGAAACACCATTTTACCCTGTCTTAGCAAGGTTTGGCAGTCTTTTTGCTTGTATCCTGCTTGTCCAGTCTGGACACCGTGCATTTTGTCAGTGGTCAATGCATGGGCAGTTTTTTGCCCAAAGGCCATTTTTGCTAAGAAGAAAACAAGCTCCAAGTACAGTGTCTTCAGTGCCCAACATTCTCTTAGGAATAGATCGGTGCTGTCAGGAGCAAGCATGTCTCACATCAACAGAATCCTAAGTTATTTAAATGCCACATTCTACAGTTCTTTGAAGTGATTGGAATTGCCTATCTGTGCAGAATACAATCTCTATGCATCTAAAGAACCTGATTAGTCTAACTATAAGTATAACAAACATGAATGACTATTGACCTGTAATTCTTAATGCCTATATAGCTTAGAGATATACAAGAATCTACACCAATGTAAATTGTCTATAAATAATAGCTCACAAGCAATCCCACTTTTACTATTATTAGTGTAAGCTCACACTAATCTACCATCCCATCCCATCCCATCTATTTCCCCCTTTTTTTTTTCTTAAGAAAGACCTTGACTCTGACCATTAACCATTTATAATCAACTCTTTTAAAATGAAAACAAACATTTATAAACAATCATTTTGGGAATTTGGGCATAGTTCTTTCCAAACTGCTTCCTGTTTGTTGGGTAAAGTATGTTTAGGGGTTCATGGAGATCTTTCAGGGGATCTTATTCCATTAAACCACATCAGCCTGGAAGGAATCCACAGTTTCTCATCTTCTGTGGAAACAAAAGCAGAACCTCTTTTCCAAAGTAACATACCCTTAGATTCAAATTTAGAAGTCAAGACACTTTTAAAATATATATGTTGGTTTAGCTTAGCAGCCCCCAGAATCAAATGTCTCTCTGCAGTCAAAAAATTTATAGAAAGCACAATAATATACATAATCCAGACTCTCTGTATATATTCAATCTTTATGTGGCTTGTTTCTCTTTACTCCTCTGATCTATGACTGTCTGTACCCTTTTATATTACTTTTACTATCTCTTTAAAGACTTTGTTTTATTTTTAAAAACTATTTCTTTTTATAACTTTCTTCTTTCTCCCAAGTCTACGTATGTTTTTTTTTTTAAACACACTGTGACTCATTTAGAGGTCTTCTGTGTCTGAATCTGTCTTTATTGCAGTCTGTAATCATTTTCTGACCAGGAGTGCCTCTTAAAATGCTAAATAGCATGGCTAGGTCTAAGACTGCTTTGCCGTTTGGCTCCACCCAGTCCAACATGGCAGAGATACGTTCACCACCAACTCTGAGCCATGCTCATGGCCCCAGCTCCAGGGACACAGTGGGTCTATGTCACCATTAAGCAACTTGTATCATTCTCTTCACAATCCCCATTTAAATGCTCCATAACAGGACCTCCTGAAAGAGCCATTCCATGATGCCAGCATGAACCAGGAAGTCGACTTTTAAAGAAGCCACACTGTTGCTTGCAGCCAGCAAACAGAGCCTATTTGAAAGAAAAATGCAGCTACCAAGAAGCTGGGCTCCCATTTTTGTGGGTCTAGAAGTCCTGGGTTTTTGTTTTTTTTTTTCCTATAAGCCTTTTTAGGTCTTATGTGGACCCACGCCCCAGACAGTGGGTGCCAATTTGTTGGCATACAAAAGAGTTCTGTTATAGCCCAAAGTGGAGTATAACAAAGGCTTATTAGTCTGAGGATAAATTAACAGAAAGAGTAGTGACCTGCAGTTCTCTGTGTGCGCTGGGAACTAGAACCGAATGCAGCACCGAATGCAGCAGCCATGATGCCTGCACATGCTTTTTGTTTGCATTTATAGTGCATAAGGCCACACCCAAAGTGGGCTAGTATCTTAAAGGCTATTGGCTGAAGGAGTTGCCACGGCACACCTGCATCTGGGGAGAACAATTTTCCCTTTTATAGAGGTTCCAGGGCTTGAACTCAGGTCACCAGGTTTGCATGGCAAGCAAATTTACACACTGAGCCATCTCACTGGCCCTCCCTTTTTTTTTGAAACAGGGTCTCATGTAGCCCAGGCTAGCCTTGATCTTGTTATGTACCTGAGGAGAACCTCAAACTTACAACCGTCTTGCTCCAGCCTCCCATACGTCAGGATCACGGACATTTGTCACCATACTTAGTCTCTCTGATTATTTTAAGGCCTCAGCATCTCCTAAAGCATCTGTGATCGGGGTCGAGAGGTCCCAAACACTGAATGAAGGCGGGTGCATGGAGTGCAGAGATGGGTCGTAGGTGGGGAATCTGAGGGTCTTCATATGCCAGGGGAGCAGCGTGAGCAGCACCTACCTCAGTAAGGCGCTCGCACTGTCAGAGACAGAACGTGGACACACGGCCAGCCTGGTTCCAGGAAAGGAGATGATGATGATGAAGATGACAAATTGCTTTTGATTATATCTTTATTTTGTGTGTTATGTGTGTGGACACAGGTGACCTAGGATTGAACTCAGGTTGTCAATTTTAACAGCAAGCACCTTTACCTGCTAACCTGCTGAGCCCTATTGGCTTTTTCAGTTACATTTTTGACACGCTCCTCACTGTGACCCTAGGATGAACTGCGGCTACCCCGTTCTGAGCCTCGTTACGCACCTCGGTGATGAAGCACCCTCCCTTCTGTCACATGGTGCTGTTTTATTGCACCTCTCCAGCCCTCACATCAGGAATTGGACTTGGGCACCTAACACGTGCCAAAGTGTGACCTCTGCAAATCATTGAGGACAAATCCCCCTGCCCAGGAAATAAATCGCTTCACCCAGGCTCTTGGAACACCCACGTCCCCCGCCCAGTGCCCTTGTCTGTGTTGGAGACTTACTTCTGGATGGTCACTTTCCTGT